AAAAATGTGATGTTTTATCTAGAATAAATTTTTTCTAATTTTTGTTTTGTTTTTGAGTTCTACAAAAAAAATTTTTTTTCAAATGGCAACCCACGATAAAACCATTTTTCTCATGAAAGTTATGATCTAGTTGTAAAACTATCTACTTTATAGTTAATTTTTCCAAAATTTTACATAAATTGCAATTTTGACAAAAAAAAATCGCATAATTCAAAAACAAAATAAAATTTCGTACTAAGAATACTATCATATTTTTTTATATTACTTTAATTTATATAAATTATTATTTTCTATTACATTCACCCTGTATAATTTGAAAACTATCAAACATAGGTATAGGGAATGATAATACGGATTGAAAGAGAACTAAATTTAGTGAAGAAAAAATTGGGGTGTTTTATTTAGAAAAATTGAGTTAAAAGTGTTTGAAGTTTTTTGGGAATTTGTTAATTATTTTTCCAATTATGAATACACCGAGGAAAGATGTAACCTTTCTCTCTGGTATACCCAAATACGATTTCAATATAATAAAAAATGGTAGAGTTATCGATTTTAATAGGAAGATTCAAATCCAAAAATTTTCAAAAAGATCAAAATATTTCGAAAACGGTTAAACTTAGGTATAGGGAAGGCTAATAAAAACTCTCCCAAAATGACTTGAATAAAACCTAACCGATTGTGGCTATAGATAAACATCATTGTTCGAACTCCCTTCTAATGTGGGGTTTAGCCGGAACACCCTGTAGTTTTTTTAAAAAATCCTGTATTTATTGGTTTCATTGAAGAAACGATTCTTTGTGTACATATTGTAGATTTTATCAGTTGTCGAGGTCATGCGATAATTTCAAACTAAACATATTCGATAACAATGCTATTAGTGTCCAAATGTGATTTTTCAGAGCTTGTTTTGTTTTCAGCCTCCTGAAAACGAGCTCCAAAAAAGCGACCGCGTAATGTCCGAACACCAATTGCGCGTTCAGCGTTCCCTTCAAAAGCTCACCGTTCCCGAATGGTACAAACAAAACCAAGTCCCTCAAGGTTTCCTCCTGAAGAAGCCGTCATCATCATCACGGGAGAGTCGTTGGACGGGGACTGGTAGTAAAACCACATCGTTGAGTAGTTTAGGTTCGAATAGTGGTACTTCCCCGGTGATTTTAAGCCCTACAACGCAACCTTTCGTCCGATGGTCCACCTCGAAACTCAACTCGACAGCATCATCGCCGTGTGCCTCCATCAGGAGCAGTTTCAACACCCGACACCAACCCAACGGTTCGCTATCGCCCTCATCAATTCGCAGTAGTTTTAGTTATCGACAACCGTATTTGGGCTGGAGGTCGCAGGAGAGGCTCTCCAAACCGCGGACTCCTGCTGAACGACTCGCTAATAGTCTTTTGTTGTCGTCGTCGCAACCACCGCAAGCCAGTCCTGATGAGATACAAACTTCGATTAAAGAAGTGACGTCAGCGATTGTGCACTACGTCAGCGGTTTGAAACCAGAGAGTAGTGGTGATGAGACGAGGAGTCGCTCGACGAGTCCAAGAGGTAGTCAAAAGTTGTGCTGGTTGGAAAGCTCTTTTGTTGGTATTAAACCGTTGGATTCGCCACAGACCCCACAACCCCCGACGAGTCTTCGACTAGAACTACAAACACATAATGGTGAGTCGGTTCATGCTTAAGGGGGGACATTCGGGTGTCTTGATGCTCTCTATGTGGTGCTATGTAGTTTAGTCACCTCTCAGTTTACGATTCGGGTAAATTGGGACGGCTTTTGACGTGTTCGATGACGATTATGTTGAGTTTTTTTTTTGTGTATATAGTATAGTTTGACGCGGAACAAACTACATGTTTTATGAAAAATCTTTGTTTTAGTGTTTTTAATAATGTTTGTCTACAGGATGAATCATTCTAGTGGCGTCCAATTTATTACAATGCTGGACAAAAAATGGGATACCAAATATTTGACATTTTTTGAAAATTTACTCTAAATCAGACTTTAACGTCAAATTTAACTTTTCAATACCTCAAAAACGTCAAAATGACGTGAAAGTAAGGTTATTACTATCTAAGGGCTGTTTTACACTACTATTTATTATATCAAAAGAATGTCTTATTTTTTGGTCTGGAATAGTACAAATATATTTTTTTATTTTTTAATTGCAATTATTTTTAATTGTTTGTCTTCCTTGTACCATACCGATAGAAAATGGAGCACTAATATTTTGACATTTTTTTGAAAATTCATTCTAAAGCAGGCTTTAACGTCAAATTTGATATTTCAAAAACATCAAAATGACGTGAAAGTAAGGTTACTATCAAAGGGCTGTTTTATACTACTATTTATTATGTCAACACAATTTTTTTGTCTGTAATTGCAATTATTTTTAATTGTGTTTGTCATTTTGGTTGTTTTTCTTGTACCATACCGATTAAAAAATGGAGCATTAATATTTTGACATTTTTTTTTAAATTCATTGTAAAGCAGGCTTTAACGTCAAATTTGACACAAAATAACGTGACATTTAATCGAAAGTAAGTTTACTATCTAAGGGGTGTTTTACATTATTATGTCAATCACAGAATGTCTCATTTTTTACAAATATAAATTTTTGGCTTTTTAATTCTAATTATTTTTAATTGTGTTTGTTTGTACTTTTTCGTTTTGTTGCTTGTACTATACCGATAAAAAATGGGGCATTCAAATTTTGACATTTTTTGAAAATTCTCTCTAAAACAGGCTTTAACGTCAAAATTGACTTTTCAAAATCTCAAAAACGTCAAAATGACGTGACATTACATCGAAAGTAAGGGCTGTTTTACATTATTATTTATTATGTCAATAACAGAATGTCTCATTTTTTTACAAATATAGTTTTTTTGCTTTTTAATTGCAATTATTTCAATTGTGTTTAGCAAAATTTTTACATTTTCTTACTTTTCAAAAATACCACTGACAACTACTAAAGGCCGTTTCACGTTTAATGAATTTGCTGTTCCATTTTTTGTGTGTTTTTTTTTTTTTTCATTAATATGGTCGGTGTTAGACGATAACACACGAATGGTCCAGCCTGTATAATTGTTTATATTTGTTTCTTTCGTGTACTTTAATTTAAATAAAATTGACTCATTTTAGTATTATTACGTAGTCTGTAATCGACTAAATATGTTATAATTTTTTGTGTATGTACCATTTTTTTATTATTTAGATATATTCTATGTATCGTGTTGTACTCTTCACCCACAAATCTTGAAATAAATTATTTTATTTATTTAATTTTCTTTTTTTCCCTCGCATGCTGTTTTGTGTTATTGATTTAAAAGAAACCAAAAAAATGTAATCTATGCACTAGATGTGAGTCTCCTGAATGCAGAAAGTGTTCCGAAACCGTCCCCCGGTTCGACAACTCTTGAAGACGTTCTCGATTCGCTTTTGGGCCTCCCATCATCGGACCGCGCCCCCAGCCCTAGTCTCCAAGGTAGGAGACATGTGTAAGTTTCATTCCAGGTCATAGGCGAATTTCCTCAAATTTCGTCTCGATTTTGAGCTAGTTTTTGTGTTTTGTAGTGACGGCGTCAGCTAATACCAGTCCCAAGAAGCAACAACAACACCCACGTCGTCGTAGTTCGGAAGGAAGTCAAACCAACAACAACAATTCACGTCGAGTCAGTTTCGAGTCGCCTCTTCTGCAATGTCGCTACTCTCGATGTGGAAAAACAATACCAAAATTAAATCCGGAAGCTTCAAATTGGAAAAACTGCCACAATTGTTCGTACATTTACTGTTCGAGGAGTTGTCGAAGGGCTCATTGGGAGAAACATCGCAAAACTTGTCTTTTTTCACGCATTGGAACACTTTGTCGGCAAGTAATTGCCTCAATCAAGGAACAAAAAGAGACACTTAATCATTTATCGTTGATTGCTCGACGAGGTTATCTCAGCCATGGCCTCGGCGCAGTCAAATGCTTCTTTCCTGGACCTGACAAAGCCGAGAAGTTTCTCACAGGGGGATTAAGTGACTTGGGGGAACTCACTTATGTCCGTTGGCCGGATTTACTACCATCAGAAATGGGGCCACAACTCTACTCTGAATTGGTTCAAATGTGTAAAACTTATAATCCTGATAGTAAAATGGTACTGTATGTTGCTGTGTGTGTGGTGTCGGAGACACCGGCGACTGGGGCCGTCAAATGGGAACGCCAATTGGTGTCTCGCTGTGCCAAAATGCGGCTCAGTAAAGACTTTTCCATTCCGGAAAAAGAAGACAATCCAGAAACGCTCATTTTGACATGTAGTTCAATTAAAGGTGGAAACGATGAAGCAAAGAAATTGAGTATTGATAATGTTTTGAAGGAGTTGAGAGCACGTGGAGTGTCACTCAAAAGACAACATCCGATTATTTTTAAACAATTGTGCGCTTATGCTGATGGAATGTGTGAGAAATTCACACCGATTACGGTGTATCCTAAAGATGCGACAACAGGAAAGAGTTTCATGTGCATTATTATGTTGGAAGCGGATCCGGAGAGTTTGAGACAAGTTGAATTGGCGGGGGTTAAAGTTAGGACTGTTGATGTACTGTGCGCGGATTGAAAGACCTCTGTTACCCTATCCTGTGATTTATTATTATAGCTTGTTGTTATTCTGCAAATTTTAACGAGATTATTCATGTTATCATTCTAATGTTGCTTTTTAATTATTGTGCTTTAAATAAATTCAAGGTTTTTTGGGGTACGTGCCTTTGTCTACGACTTTTGCACGATATTAAGTCACATATCGGAGCCCCCCTTCACGTACTCATTATTTTTACTTATTATTTTACCAAAAACACACCAAATTTGAAAAGCAATAAAAGCAATTGGAAATTGAAATCGTTTTATTCATTTTTTTGTACTTTATTCATAGTTGTATAATAAAAATTGTTGAAATAAATGATTTGAATTTTATTTTATTTTAAGCGGTAGATGGCGTCGATTTGTAGAATCCTGTAGCATTGAAATGGCACTAGCGCCACCTGTAAAAATGTTTGCAGCTTGAGTAACAAGGTCAACAACACTAAAATCAGAAAGTGGCCAAGTTTTCCAAAATACTGATTTTCTCAAAGAAATAGTGATGTGATTGTGATTGGTGGTGTTTTTTCCGAGTATTATCGTGAGTTTCAGGTGAGTACTTGACCATTTATTGTGGGAAAAAGCAAAAGTTGGGAATGATCCGTTATGGGGAGAAAAAAACTCGATCGAGGCCTCTTTCGTGTCTTGGACAACGTGAATTTGCACCGAATTGTAAAATTTCGATGAATTTACGCATTTTCAACGTAAATTTGTATAAATTCCGAAATTTATTCTCTCCTGTCATTTGTGATTGTTTACGAGCGGACTAGATACGAATTTTACCGCCCAATTCAAATTATTTCTTTAAATCATCATTTGTTTGTTTTTTAATGAATCGAGTAGGTATTGGATGACATTTATTGTAATTTTTCAGTACTTCCCTACATACTCGAATTTCTCAAAGACGCGAAAAAAGTCCCTCAATGGCCTGCAGACAACTTTCTATCTGAACTGCCGGTGCAAATTGCACATTTTGTCGACAATCAGGTAATTTTCCAAAGTTACACGCCATCTACGACAGGACCGTATTCGGATTGGTTACCATAGTAATCAAATAAACATTTTTAGGTTTTTCTTTGCGTCAGCGATGTGGTTACCAACTTGAAAGAGAGAAAAAAAATGTGAAAAATGTCGGGCGCCGATTGTTTCAACGATATGCCGACTGAGATTTTTGCGACGGAAACAAACGGAGATATTTACGAACATTTACCAAATAATAATGTTTGTCCAGTAAAAAATTACGTACCCGATGTAGAACAAAATCAAGGCGCCACCAGTACGGGTCAAAAAACTTGCAATTAACTAGTTATTTGTTTGTTTTGTTTGTTAGGTGGTGGTAGCCATGATGTTCCGAAAACGGAAAGTACCGATTGTAACAATGGTAGTATCAAAAAAGTAACGAAAAGTCGCACTAAAAGTGGAATGGGACGAGGTAGACCTCGTAAAGCGCTAGTTGCAATGTATCACAGTCAAATAAGTGGCGATAAAAACACTATTAAAATACGAATAAAGAAAAGTAATTTTACCGCACAAGTGCAACTTACTGCACCAAATAAAAAGAAAAGCGGAAGACGGAAAAAACAAAAAGTTACATCGGATACGGACGTATCCGATTATGAATATACGGCAAAGAAAAGTAAGAATGAGAGTGTCGTGACAAGTACTCAGGATCAGGAGGAGGAGCCTCAAGAACAAAGCGTTTGGGGCGAACACGTTCCTGAAAATATTTTATATAAAATTTTTCAAAACGTGTGTTTTCAAGATGGATGTTTGCCGAATCTAGTGAGGTACTTGAATTATTTTCTTTAATGTGTCCCAGAAATAAAATCCTAGACGAGTCGCACATGTTAGTAGGTTTGCACCGTTGCCATAGAAATATACATGTAACTATGGTAATAAAAATTAAATAAATTAAAATTACCATAGTAACAATAGAAAAGTCAGTAGCGGGTATAATCGTTTTTTCTCGATTTTTTCTGGGACATTTTATGTATATTATTTAATAATTGAATTATAGATTGTGTCGTGTGTGTAAACTGTGGCGGAACGTTGCTTTGACACCTTCATTGTGGAACAAAGTGGATTTGAATTATGTGAAAGAGCCGTTCAGGACTGATTTGCAATTACATTGGTTGATTTATAATCGGTTGTCTTGTTGTCAGGATTTAAATTTGGGTAAAAAATAGCGAAATAATTTTTTTGTATGTTGTTTTAATTTTGTGTTTAGGTGAATGGAAGGTTCGTGATATACAAATTGCAATTGAAGCTCTCTGTGCGAATTGTCCTGAATTACAAGGCATAAATTTGAGCGGTTGGAAAGGCCTCAATGCTGATAATTTGAAATATTTAACGACAGAATGTAAAAAACTGGAACGATTAGACTTGTCGTCAATTAACGTAATTGATTGTTTGGATTGAAAAAAAATGTATAATTTTTTTTGTTACAGTCTACATCGGCAATTAATTCTCAACCTTTGGTAGCAATGGGCCAAACGATGAGCAGTCGTTTGACACATTTGGTGCTCGCTCATAATAAAATGGCGGGTTTTACTCAAATAATGGCGTCAATTGCTGTACGATTTGTCATTTTATATGAATGAAATATCTGATTTGTGTTGTTTTTAGGCGAATTGTCCGAATCTCCAACTTTTAGATATATCCAACATTCGAACTTTTGCTCACAATAGCGCACTTTTACACGTTGAAAAATTACAAATTGGTTGTCCAAAATTGCGAGTTTTGCGTATTACAAATAGTCAAATTTGGTTGGCACCGGCTAGTTTGACCGATCAGGTGGGGGATATTTTTGTGTCGATTTTAAATAAAAAAAATTTTTTTTTTTGTTAGGTTGCCTCACCTGGATTTCCGCTTTTGGAGGAGTTGTCTTTAGCCGGTTTGGAAGAAGACCAAACGACTACTTCTCGATCTGTTGATGATGACGGAATTGAGAGGATATTGAAAAATAGTACAAAACTTCGTTTGTTAGATGTTAGAGGGTGTATTCGTTTAACCGATTCCGGTTTGGTTAAAGTACCTGCCTGGGATCTTGAACATTTATTTTTGAGTGGTAAATAAATGATGAATTTAGTTTTTTTCTCAATTAATTTTGGTTTAACAGCCTGTTATATAACTCGGACCCAAAATTCCGGTCTGGAATTGATAGTCCGGAAATGGAGTCACAGTTTACTCGAAGTTGATTTGGCTTGGAGTACAGCGACGGAATCTTTGGATGCAGCTGTGATGGCTTTGGCTGAAAAAGAAGCCGAATCGAAGCTGAGGTAAGTTTAGAAAATATAAGAGGAAAGAAAATGAATTTTTCTCTTTAGAATTGTGAATTTGTGTGGCTCTTCAGTGAGTTTAGAGCCGGTGAAAGCCGTACTAAATTGCCCTCATTTGCATTCCATTAATTTGCAATCGTGTCGGGCTTTACCTCGAGGGATTAAAAGGTTATATACAGGAGATGCCGTTCAAGAGTTGAAACAAAGTTTGCAAAATAGGCCAAAGAATGATGTCAGCGAATCAGAAACGGAACAGTCACCAGCTCATCCAATCGTAGCAGCTGTCGAATAAAATGCTTTTCTTTTTCATGTCGAATGTGATTGAAATTATTTAAATGCGAGTTTTTGATCGAACGGGACCAAAAAATTTTTTTCAAAAAAAAATTTCATTGAATCTCGGATAATGAGATCAAACTTTGAGCCAATATTTGAATTGTTTTAATCACATTTCGGCTAAGAGTTTATAAATATTTATTATATATACATTGTATAAAAAATGTACGATAATTGTCTGAATATTTTATTTTGAATAATTTAGATAAATACTTTACTAATTTAATACAGGTTATCGAGTGTACAAAGTATTTTATTAAAAATTTTCCTTGTTAGGTCTAAATTATTGTCTATGTAAAGGATTTAAGAGAAGAAATATTAGAGAAGAGAGCGGCAGTATTAATTTATTTGTTAATTCCCTGTGAGAACTTTACTAAAAAAAAAAAAGTCAGGTGAGTAAACGTTGTGATTTTATTATTACATTAGTAAAGTATTTGCAAAATATGTCTTACCTGTCTATACGTACGTAAAAATCTTTCAATTGAACACCAATCAAAAGTAAACAAACCAACTACACCTGACCTTAATGCACCACTTTTGATTTTTTAATCAATTAATAGATTGTGTACCTACCTACCTAATGTGTAATTGTCTATTAGAGCGAAAATGTAATTCTAATTATGTTCACTGTTTTGTAATAAATAAAAAAAAGTTTCGTTATTTTTACATTACTTGTTCACCAATAAAACAAATTAAACAATACTTTGATTTATTAAACATACATTTAAGAATAACAAAATTGATCCGTGTATCTAGCATAAAATATATTCATAGTTTGGGGTGGCTTTCGTTGTATGTAGTACTTGCAAAGGCCGTCCCAAATTGATCGGTCATTTATATATCCATATGGCACCGATACACTTGACACATCTATATTATATTATATAAAATTAAAATACACATTAATAATAATAAATGCTTTCTCCTCATGTGTGAACACATCAAAACAATGAATTACTGGCAAGTCGCGCGACTATTTATTGCATAAAATGACGACTAGTGTTGAATCTTGCTTCACCATCGATTCGAACAGCACCATTAGGAAAAAAACCACTTTCGTATCTGTCATTTCGGCCCTTCCACCAACCCTCTCTGTACCCCTCTTTACCTATAACATAAATTATTTGACCTTCACGAAGTTGCAATTGACAAATATCGGTCGGTTCAAAATTTCGAATAACTGTTGCAAGCAGTTGACGGTAAGGCCACAACAATTTCGTATTTTCTTCCAGTCTACAAAAAAAAATCAATTATTTGAAATATCAACTCTTTATAATATTGTACCTCTCGAAATTCTCCCGTAAACTATTTGTTTGATAATTGAGCACCAATTCCTCAATGTTATTAAAAAATTTCGATAGAGATAAATAATACTTTCCTTCGTGTTCCCCTGTATTGCATATTTTCATGTGTTTGACTGTATCGTTTGTCCTGAAATTAATTATTTCAGTTTGTAGAAGGAAAAAAAGAATTTTTTACTTGAGTGAGAGTGCATATTTATCCTTATCTTCACTTTGTGGTCTTATTCTGACTAGAAAAGTGCCATTTTCTCGTCGTTCCAATTCGTTTTGTGCTCGACTCCTATCCATCTCACCCACAAACCACAATTTATCTCTAAGACAAGCATCGGCTCCATTCATGACTAAATCGGACGTTGGATTTTGATTATGAGAACAACAACGGCCCGAATGTGCTATACATTGTTTATGAACACCGATTTCACAAACTGTACATTTGTATCCTTGATAAATCAAACCTCTGAGATATTTTGAGCAATGGAAACATTGAACTGGACCGTTAAAAGTTTGCAATTCGAATGTGTGATTTGTACGTTTGAGCGCTGCTGGATGAATATTATCCAAAGCATCATTTATCGCTTTAATCATTTGTTGTTTCAATTCAAGAGTTCGAACAAAAATTGTATAAACCATAACATTATCATTCTTCACAAGATGAAAACTATAACAAAAACGTGCATCTCGACTCAAGACGGCTCTATTGTGTGTTTCATCAACGTGATATTCACTTATGTTAATAATATTTCGAAATGCAAATTGACGAACCTACAATTCAATTTTACACAAAACGAAAGTTAAAATCATAAATTATACTTTGATTTGTTTACAAATCAAGATACATTTATCAAAGATGAACACGTATCGGTTTCTGATTTTTTGATCATCATGTGCTTTGATTTTCATTTCACCATCTTTAATCAATCTTCCATAATTTACTAATCGGTGATCTGGTGATCTATACCATTCTACAATATTTTCTTGTAGATTTTGAATTACAGCCAAATGTTCACTATCTCTCGCTGCTTCGTTTATAAAACCAGCAACATCGAGCATAGCTTCACGTGCTCGTCTCAAATCGTTATATTCCTCATGGTTCTTAAAAAAAAAAATCAAAAAAAAAATTAACAAGACTAAAACTCACAGGATCGGTATTTTCAATCAATTTGTCGAGTAATAAATGATATTTTAAAATTCTTTGCATCGGAACCGATAAAACATCTCGAAGTTTAAACCTACCATTATTGTCTTCTTTCTCATATGACTGGAATTGATATTTTTAGTACATAGAAATTTTTTTGTTTAAAAGTTACCACAATTGTTGCATTAAAATTCTCATCACTATCACACAATTCTTGCAATAAATTTGTCGCTCGTGTCAAATTCGCACAATAACCACCATAAACAAGAAATCTTTCTCTCCAATTCATAAAAATCGAACTTAATCTATAGCCTGGATCACGAAATCTGGTCAATTCACGATAAAAAGCTAAATGTATTTCGTGTAAATCCTGAAATTTAAATTACATTTTTTTTATTTTTATTTTTTTTAATTCTTACGTAAATTTTATAAAAAACAGCTTCATGATCTTGGGGTTTCATTTGATTAGCTAACGGCTTCATAAAATTCCGTTTCAGTTTGGCAAGAACTTCAACATAATTTTTTTCAGTATCTAACAATTCTTTTATGACAAAATCGCGTTTTTCGAATGTTTGTTGTGGCTGAAAATTCAGGATTTAATCATGTTTTTTATAGACTTTGAAATGTGGATGAAAAGCCAAAAAAAAGTACCTCATTAATGGGCCTCAATGCACACAAATCTTGATAAATTTCTTCGCTCGCCACATCATAAATCGGATCATTCATTCCTCTAGTATTGGATGGCATTTCTCTAATATAACAAAACAGGCATGCAAAAAAAAGAAATCTACAGCGTGTCAAAAAAAAAAAAAAATACAAACAACAGGCGATAAAACATTGCAAACCTCTGGTAGACAAGTCGAGAAGGTCACGTAACACAAATCGTCGTAAACCTCCTCTTCTCTGTCTTCAGGTCGCGGACAAGGGATTGTAAATTGTAACCAACTTGGTTCATTAGTCCTGACATAACTACATGAAGGGACAGCATTTAAGGGAGAATTTTTTTTTTTTGACCTTAAAATTGAATATTGTACTTACACAGACTTGAGACTTTGATAAATCACTTCCTCTTCTTTTGTTTTGACACCTTGAGCAGTGAATCCTCTAAAAAAATATCGTTTCATTAGGAAAATAATAATTGGTGTTTTTTTTTAATTACAAAATATTTCCTTTTTGGGCTTCTTTAGTAAGTGAGAGTTTTGATAAAGTGCATAATACTTTATGGAAATTTGTGAGCTCGAAAAGCACCAATGGATCAAACAAATCTTGATCTTTCAATCCAAACGAGATAACACAAGTCTTGAGAAAAAGCTCAATGTTGTGTAAACTTAAAAACTAGAAAAATATTATTAATGATGAAAATTTGCAAGAGTAACAACTGACTTGAGCCATGGCTGGTTTTAAATTAACATTCTTCATATCAATACATCCAGGACTTATCTTATTGAGCAATTTACAAAGTAAGACACCATCTCGAAGAATATTAGCTAAATCAGCAATACAAGCATCAGGCCAATTGGCTCTATGGTCTGTTCTTAACATTCCCCATCTTGTTAACCATTTCGCACATTCTTTCCACAATTCGTCACTGGTGTCTTTATCGGTGGCATAAAGAGCTGTAGCCATCTGAAAACATGAAAAATATTTTCATTGTTTCAAACGATTTTTTACAAACATTGGGAGCTCCTGGTACATTGAAATATCGAAAAGCACTAATCTCACGCACTTTTCCAATAAAATAAACCGATAAATACAATCAGTAAATAAAATAAATTTACTTAAACGTCAAAGTGACATTATTATTAATGTCATGTCAATTTTCGTTGCTATGACGAACGATGTGAACGCCACCTATTTTCATCAAAATATTAAAAATCAAACTATTTTTTTCACACTTTTACGAGCAATCAGTCACATGTGAATTTCCCTAAAAAAAATGAAAAATTTTAACTGTTTTTCACACTTTCAAGCTCAATTTTAATATTTGGGGGGCTATTTTAACGAGCAATTTCGCCAACCAAATGCGAAAAATCCCCAAAATCCACTTGTCATTGCACAGTGATTTTCACAATGGCCGCTAGCAGTGGCGGAGTTGAATGGTCTTCAGTGTTAAAACCGTTTTTATCTTTGCATTATGAGACTTCAAATCGTACAGAAGTGATTGAATTATGTTCAACAATAATCAAATGGTGAGTAGGTCGAAATTTTACGTTGATTTTGTTGAATGTTAAAGCCGGCGATAATACGCAATTTGTAGTAGTGATTCAACAACGTCGATTTCGATGATAACCATTTTGTTTATTCGATTTTGTTGCAGTGAAGCTGAAATTCTACGCCACAAAGAGAATAATAAGAAGTTTTATGACAATTTTGTTGTACTGTCAGCCGATTACATTAGCTCGTGTACCAACAAATGTGAGTAAAATAAAACGATTTTTTTGTTTTGGTTAGATCGGAATTGATAAGATTTCATTGCAATGAGAAGCAAAAACACGGAATTGTGACGATAAGATAACAACATTTTTTGTCATACGTCTTCTTTTTAATCCTTGTAGTTTTATTTAGCGTCAATTAACGTTTCAAACATCATTATTAGTGTCAAATTTCATGTCAATGTCATTTCCGAGAAAACCCAAAATTTGTTTAATGCTAATAATGTGATTTTTTTCAATTTTGGTTCAGTGCCCGTGAGTCAAATAGACACAGTGAGTGCCGCATGTCGTGTGTTGCTCAAGTATTTAATAAATTGCCTTCAATCGTTTGCCAGTGATTCGTCTCAGAACAGTGCTCAAATTGAGATTTATTTAAATGCAGTGCGAGTATTGTGTATAGGAACTAGTCAGTTGTCAACGGCTGAAGTTTCAGTCCTCGTCAATACCATGAAAGGTGAAAATTTGCCTCCTAATACAACACCACCTGGTGAGTGAGTGAAAAATTGTCGATTTCTTGTAATTTGATTGTGATTTAGGTGGTGAAAAAGATGTGCAAAATAAACAAGAATCACCCAAGAGTCGTACTGATCTTTCTATGGATATATTTGAGCAATTGACGCTACCTTTGAGAGATGGGACTTTAGATATTGGAGGTTCAACAACAAATCTTAATGATATACCATCAGGGAGTGATCCAGTCTCGGAAATTAACGTAATTGTGTTTCATTTTACATTACATTGTATTGATTTTATAAAATTGTAGAAACTTTTTTTGAAAACAAACACCGAAAATTTGCAATCGTTACGAGCAGGTGATACTTTAGTTGATTTGTGTCTTAATCTTCAATCGATTAAGAAAGCACGTACTAAAGTCGAAGAAGCTCTCGCTGGTAAACCCTTTTCCATTCCGACAAACCAATCAGAAGCTAATGTTTTGAAAAATTCCGTTTCGATGAACATTTCCGAAATAAAATTGGCATTTTCTGCTATAAATCTTCCCGTTTTGGAGCCTCTCACTCCGAGTAAACTCGATAAATTATCAACATTAAGCATGGCTATATTACATTGTGCTGTAAGTCAAGCATCAGCGAGTGCTGTTTTATCAACATCATCGATTATTTCACCAAAATGTTCCTCACAACAACAAAATCTCAAAGAGGATGATTATGAAATGCAAGCTGTGACACTAGTCGAAGAAGCTTTAAATATGTATTCATACATTGGTACTACGATTAAAAATTCAACACGAGCCGGTGGTCACGTGTATCAAAATCATTTATTAGCCGGTGCTTGGGTTTTAATCTCTGGTCTTCAAGCCCATTTAACAGCGAGTACGGCACTGGAAAAATCATCACATGTGCGTGAACGTGAAGAGAAAGGGCGAAGTCCATGTAAATCGCGCGATTGTAGTACCACAGCCAGATCCGGATTACAAAAATTTCAACAAAGTTTCGGTGTTTTATCAGTAGCAATAGCCACGAAAGCGCTATCACTCTTGACTGAATTGTTTGATGATTTGCATTTGGAGGCTTGTGGGGGTGCAGGGAGTATTGGTCAGATTGAACCAGCCCCTTTGGCTATCATGGGTCAATTTACAGCACTTCAAAGAGTTGCAAGAGTTTTAAGTGCGGCCCCATTGAATAATTTTCTTTTTTATTTGGCTATTGTGAGTTATGGTAAAGCTTGTACGTTGAAACGTTTAGATCCACCAGAGGGCGATACATTTAGTCAATCCGATTCGACCACTTACTATGAAGATATGATTTTAGTATCGGATGAAAGTTCGATTGATGAAGAAGATGAAGATAGTGAACCGATTTTGGGTCAATGGTTTGAAGAGACATTAGCACCACCTGAAACAAGTGAACCTAAAACACCTTCAACTTCTGATAATGTTGAAACTAAATCAGTTGTTGCTGAAAATTCATCGATAATACCTGAAAAGGGAGAAGCACACGGCTATATCACACTTGCGACTAATATTTTTATATTTTTGAATAAACATTTTTTGTGTACGAAAAGTGCATATGTGGCAAGATACGTCAAAAATGGTCTTACTGAACAACAAATGATTATTCTAGCTGCGATTATACGTGATTTGGATAGGGAAACATCAAGGACTGAAGTTGGGACTATTTCTGCGTATTTTGGTGCCACTTTGGGTCAATTGTATTGTGAATTTTCGGCTGCTTTAACGAAATTCACTCATAATTTGGTTACGAATAATAATTTGAGTTCGTTGCAAGCTTGTCTTTTGAATCATTTGGGTGTTTCACCATGGAATACGGATGTTCCACATGGATGGCCGTTGCAAGTTTATCCAAGAACTTTATCAGTTTTGGCTCAAGTGTTGCTTTTAAGACCGCAAAATGAGAAAGAAGCTTCAGTAATAAGTATTTGGCACAGATTAGTTAATACTTTATTTGAGAATGTTTTGAATACAACACAGAATTCAGATGAAGGTTTGTTTTATAATTGTGTGAATGATTGTTTTATTAATAATTGGTTTTGTAGATTTGAATGTAGAACATGCACAAGTGTTGCTTTATTTGTTTCATTCATTGAATTTGATGCAGAAAAAATCGGTATTGTTATCACTAGCTGGTGGTGTTTTACGTTGTTCTGAAGTTGCAAGAGGTTCATTGAAAGATTCACAATTATTACATTTATCAAGATTATTACTATTGTTTGATTATATTATGAAACATCTTTATGATGCACCGACTTCACTTTTAGAACAGGTTTGTACAATTATAATTACAGTTTTTTGTGTTTTAATTGAAATTATTTAGATTCAATGGAATTTGTTTTATTCAACAAATTTAAATTCAGACAAAGATAAAGAAAACATCAATCGCAAGTACACATCGTGGCAAGATATTGAAGATAATTATCGTAAAATTTCAACAATGAGTGAATTTTCCATGAAACCACGTTTCTATGTTTTAACATCGTTGGAAATCAATAATCAAGACTCTCCAAAACTTGACGGTTTAGCTTGCAATTTCATTTTGGGAACTCCGGACAAACTTCGTTATCCTTTACTTTTGGATGCTCTTATTGAAATCCTCAATGTAACTCATATTACTTCTGGTTCTCAATCTTCAAAAATGACTTTTCTTGGTTTATGTTCAACACAATATTGTTTCACTATATGTTGGAGACTTTTACAATTATTACCACCATCTGTTTCCTATATGGAACGTTTAGCTTCAGTTGAGAATCTTGCTCCTGGACCTTTAATGTTACATTCATTGATTTGGGGACCAAGATCGGCTCATAAAAATTTCAATCGATGGTTAAAAGATTGTCTAGTCAAACAAGGATTGTATACACAAAATACGGATAAATTGTTAAAAGCCGTTTCCGATAGTGTGAATAATTTAAAATATGATGTGAATAATGCGAAAAGTTGTATCATTGCGTTAACACCAGATGTGAAGAAAGGTGTCGTACTTAAAGAAAATTTACCACCATTATGGCATTTGTGTCTATTGGATTGTCTTTTGGGAAAAGTTCAAGTCGGATTAGAGGAAGCAGAAACGGAAGAATTGACTTCAACACATGTCCAGGATTTGTTTCCACATGTTTTGAAATTGACTCAAACGATTTTACATTGTGCCAGGTATACTTATTATTGGGAAAAAAAAAATTAAAATTGATTTTGATTTTTCTAGGTGGTCGATTTTTCATACAATTATCGAACAGAATGAAGGTAAAACGACACAAAACTTTGAAAATTTACAAGATGTTTTAGCGATTGCATCAAGTCGAAATGCCTTAACTAATACATTATCATCGGAATTGATTTCATTATTACCATCGACTGTTTCAACAGTACAACAACAATGGAACAATTCAACTTTGGAAGATTTCTCACCGGTAAATGTTTTATTTCAGTTTTGGTTTTTATCTAATTATTTTTTTTTCAGTCGGCTTATCAAGGTGATATAATACCATCAGAAAGTTATATTCTTAAAATTGTTGAAACTCACATTTCGACATTGTCTATGAATAGTCCATTCACGATAAATTTATCGTTACGTCGTTTTTTACAAAGCTACATCAAATTTATTTGTGACCATGCACCGAAAATCGAAAATACCGATACGAAGAATAAAGCTGTAGAAATGTTAGTGAGTATAACACTTGATTCACGCACCGAATATTTGCACGATACCGTTTCGAAAACATTGGATAAAATGATTGGTGATACGGAAACAGATGAACATCAAAAACGTGTCTATATGCAAGTTTTGTATCACACTTATCGTCTAATCATCAATTATAATGGAGAAAATAATGAAAATTTGAATGAACAAGTTTTGCATAATTGTTTGAAATTCTACGAAAAGATTTTGGAAAAATCATCAGGTCGACAAGCATTAGAGAGTTTCTTTAGTAGTGATAAAGATCTAGTTAAGGTACTAATGTCGGTTTCGAGTCCACAAATGTCACAACAGTACAGTACACGTGTATTACAATTTTTCAACAAATTATTTCAAGCAGCTGAAAAAAGTTCAACCGATCCCAGTTTGAATTATTTGTGTAGTAGTATGAATAAATTGGCTAATGTTGAAGTTGATAAATTACAAACTTGGTTACGACAAATTATAATTGGACCACCACCATCAACGACAGTCACCATAAGTGGTCAAAGTTCAAAGGATAATAAATGGAAGATTCAAGTTGAAACTAGTGAAGAACAAAAATCACTAATACAAGAAAATAGTCAATTGTTACAAGCATTAACATCGTTTATTGTTAAACAAAATAGTAATGTTTCTGAAGAGGTTGCTTTGATTATATTGAAAGCTTTGATACCATTGGGTGGTTATATTTTGTCGCCTCAAATTGGTGGTGTGGGATTTACCGATTTGATGATTGTTATGACAATGTTGGCGGATGCTGGTAGTGGTAAAGGTCATGGTTTTTTGTTTCCGGCAACTTCTGATTGGATTGAATTGTGTAATAAAAATTTCGATGATAAAAATCAAGTGATGCTTGATGCTGGTTGTTGCATTCTTGATTATATAAGTGATGTGGTTAATGGAATTGTAAATCAGAATAATTTTCGACCATTAAGTCCACCTTGGGAAGGTGAAACACCTCTTGATTTTGATTCCGAATGGCAAGATGATAATAACGATGAAGAAGATAGTGGAGAGGATTCCGATGAGGATTCTTTGAGTAATAAATTGTGCACTTTTACCGTCACTCAGAAGGAATTTATGAATCAACATTGGTACCATTGTCACACTTGTCGAATGTTGGATGGTGTTGGTGTTTGTTCAGTATGTGCACGAGTCTGTCATAAAGGTCACGATTTGAGTTATGCCAAATATGGTAATTTTTTCTGCGATTGTGGTGCCAAAGAAGATAATACATGTCAAGCATTAGTCAAACGATCACAAACAAATGATAATCAAGCAACAACAATCAATCAAAATGAAAATTTCTCATCTGAACAATTAACAAGTTCATTACGTAGACGAGCCTCAAGTCCCATTCTTGATAAAATCAAGTATAGAGAACGAAAAAATGTAAAACAATTACAAAGTAGTAAAGATTTGCTTGTGAATTATCTCGGTTCGAGTGGCGTTACACGAAATTTGATTGATTTAATGAGCTGTTTGATGGAATCAGTGGAGAAAACATGTGGAGAAAATTCACCAGTTGGTTGTTACTCTCGTGCAATGCAAGCTTTACATTTATTACACACTGGTGAGAAGAAATACGTACATACTGATCAATTAATGTTGGGTAGTATTGGGACACAAGAAGGTGCTTTTGAAAATGTAAGAATGAGTTATGCTGGTGAACAAGGACAAACAATTCGACAATTACTCTCAGCACATATTATACGAAGAGTTGCAATGTGTTGTATGACATCAATGCATGGTAGAAGACAACATTTGGCTGTTTCGCATGAAAAAGGAAAAATAACAGTATTGCAATTATCGTCATTGTTTAAACAAAATGATTCAGTAAGGAAATTGTCTTTGTCGAAATTGGGTTCAGCACCGATTCCATTTACTGTTCTTTCAATGACGAGTAATTTATGTAATGAGGATTTTTTGGCTGTTTGTGGATTGAAAGATTGTCATGTTTTAACATTTACTTCGAGTGGTTCAGTTTCGGATCATTTAGTTTTGCATCCACAATTAGAAACTGGTAATTTTATAATCAAAGCGATTTGGTTACCAGGATCTCAGACACAATTAGCATTAGTTACAGCTGATTTTGTCAAGATTTATGATTTAGGTAAAGACGCTTTAAGTCCTCAATATTATTTCTTGGTGCCTAGTGGAAAAATTCGTGATTGTACATTTATGTACGATGATGGGACTTATCATATTTTATTAATGTCATCACCTGGACATATTTATACCGAAATTTTAAATGAAGATAGTTCAGCAAAACATGGTTCATTTTACGTTACAAATACTCTTGAAGTGTTTCATTTAGATGTGACTGATGTGAATGGTCAAGTAGCCGGTGGTGGTGTTTCTATTTATTATTCACACACTTTGGGTCTTTTGTTTTATAGTTATGTTCAAGGTCGTAGTTTTATCTCACCAATAACACCGAAAAATAATTGTTTGACTGTTATTTTCTCGATAAGTTTACCACCAACGACAAGTTCAAATACGAAAAGTAACGGTTCAAGAAATTCACCACAACCTTTATGTCAATGGACTGAAATACCGAATCATCCAGGTCTTATTTGTTGTGCAATGCAATCAACTAATAATCCTGTTGTTTTAATGATTAAACCTGATACGATTTTGATTCAAGAAGTGAAAACTGTACCACCGAAAACAAAAATTATGGATATGGTTGCAATTCGACATTATTCAACAAATAATGAAGCAAAAACAACACTTATGTTATTGTGTGAAGATGGTAGTTTGAAAATGACTGTTGCTAATATGGAACAAACTGGTTTTTGGATGTCACCAAATATTCAACCAATGATAACTAATACGAATCTTAAACCGAAAAAGAAGAAAATTGTTAAATCTGGTGGCAAAAATACGAATAGTGTTTCGTTTCCTGTTGATTTTTTCGAACATTGTCAATTATTGAACGATGTTGAGATTGGTGGTAATGATCTATTACAAATTTACAATGTTGCACAATTGAAACATCGTCTCAACGCCACTGGATTATACGTTGCATGTAATAAACCGCTCGGTTTTACTGTCGAAATTACTAATCCTGATTCGAATATGGTCATGGTTGGAATTCGTGTCCTTGTCGGAAGTCAAGACGTACAAAAAGCTCCATCTTTTGTTGAAGTTTTTGGCCGTATTATTTCATTAACGGTTAGTCGAAGTCGTTGGTTTGATATTCCATTTTCAAGAGAGGAAAGTCTACAAGCCGATAAGAAATTAACAATTATGTTTGGACCATCACAAGATCCTGAAACACTCACAATGGTTGATAGCATCAAAGTGTAAGTTAGAAATAATTGAAAAAAAAAAATAAATTTGTGACTAATTTTTGCAGTTATGGCAAGACAAAAGACTCATTTGGATGGCCAGAAGAAACAGAAGAAAGTGTCGCCACAGCAAGTGGAACCAATCAAGTGATGAGTATTAGCAATGATCAAGAAACGCAACAAACGAACGCAACACCACTCACCAAGCTGGAAAAGTGAGTCTGATTTGAATTTCCCGCAAAAAATAAACACCTTGTTACTAAGAAATTTTTTACCCGTTACTAAGTGACAGTTAAATAACACACACTATCTCTTTTTTTTATATTAATGTGCATCAAGTAGGTTGTACAAGTGTAAATACATATTTAATTTAAAGGCTGCTTTACACAAAAAGTGTCATTAATGTCATTCATTAATTACGTTGTTAATTTTAATTATTTTTTGCTACCTGGTTGTAGCCTATTTGGAAATTTATTTAGAGAAATAATTTTTAGTGATTATTTGAATTTTCGCATGGTTGCCACCCTAAAATGATTCCTTTCAACGACTACTTCGATGCAAAAAAAAAATAGAGTTATATTTTCAGTCAAACACCAAAATTTACTCAAAATTATTAATTTTTTGTTGTTTTAGGTTAGTTGTTGGTATTTTGGAGGCGCTGGACGGTTCGTTTTCCTTACATCCGATCGAAGATAAGTATAAACAACCGACATTGAAATTAGCAACTCAATTATTAACATTACCAACACCACCTCTAATTCAAATCCATTCGAAAGCTCTTTTATCGTCGTTGCATTCATCGCGTCAACTTTATCACAATTATAAAGATCAAGCATTACTTCAGCATGTTTTGTCCAGTCTTAATTCAATGACCGAATCTGATACGAAAGAAATTGATGCTGAAAGTTTTTATCGTTTGATTTTGATTGTGCGTGGAATAGCTGTTTCACGTCCTCAAAATCTAGTAAAATTCAGTGATTCACATACCTGTATACAAGATATTGTACTTGATGATCCACTCGATCCAAAACCGACAACATCCAAGCAACAACAACAACAACAACAAAAATCACAACATTTACTATTGAAATTGATGGATGTACTTTGGATTTTGCATTCTTTAATGCCGGAAAATCCAAATTTGGCTCCGGTTGTTGTACCCGGATTAAAACATACGGAACAAGTGATTCATGCATTGGTTGAAATTGTGCACGCTTTCAACAGTTGTGATACTTATAGTAATATAACAATGGCTGTTTATTTACAATTGTTATTGTGTAAAGATCTAGCGATTGCATTTAGTGCAAAACAAGCGTTGAGTAAAGTTTTAAAACCGAAAATGAAACGTCGTAGAGTATTTATACCGAGTCCACCTCATTGTTCAACACCACCACCAGTTGTTGTTGGTAAAACAGATACCGATAAAAATAATCAATACGATGAAGCAATTGCTTTAGTACAAAATCAAGATGTTAATGCATTGGAAGCGCTACTAGGTGGTGCTAGTTATCAACCATTGCTTGATATACCACCTGATGCTGATGATGAAACAATGGTAGAATTAGCTATAGCTTTGAGTTTACAAGAACACGATCAAGTGACACAAGGAGGAGGCGGAGGAGGAGGTGGTGGTGGTGGTGGTGGTGTTGGACAACAACCTCAAAATCAAGAAGGTGGTCATTTTAGTGATACTACAGCAAGTGCTGCTGGTTCTGATGATGAGGGAAGTACAGCAGCAACTGATGGTTCAACTTTGAGGACTTCCCCGGCCGAACAAGGTGGAAGTGCTGCCGGTTCAGAAAGTGGTGGAAGTGGAGTTGAAAGTATCACCGGTGAACATAATGTCTCTGGACGAAGTTCTGCATACGGTGATAATCAAGAAGCACCAAGAAATGATTCGATTATTGTGACCAATCAAAATGAGAATTTACCAGATATTGATGAGAGTGATTCAGAAAATAGTAGTCGATTACATGTTTTAAGATTGCAATTGTTGGAACGTCTAACTGAATATTTACCAAAATTGAGGAATGTTGATGGTGTAAGAGCGATACCATTTTTACAAGTCATTTTACAATTAACAACAGATCTTGATGGTCATTCTGAGAGAGATAGAGCATGTTTTAATTCATTGTTGTCAGCAATTTTGATTGAATTACAATTGAGAACGCCGAATATTGATGATATTTGTGCAAGAACGAATCAGAAAGAGGTTCAATTGGTTTTGATGAAACTTTTAAGTGTTTTCATGGGTCGTTGTAAAAGTTCCACAACAGGAGGAGGACCATCAACAAGTAAACAAACTGTCGATAATTCAACTTTTGTTTCACGAACCACAGCTACTGTATTACACAAAGCTTATATCATAAGTTATTGTAATAGTTTATTGGAGGCGCTTTTATCGTATTGGACAAGTCAAAAACCTGAAGAAAATAAAAATAGTGTTACTGGTAATTTACTAAGGGAACATTTAACAAGACCACCCCCCGATATGACTCCATTTTTTATGAAACAATTTGTTAAAGAAAACGGTCCTGATATCTTTTCAACTTATCCGGAAATTTTAACCGAAATGGCATTACGACTTCCATATCAAGTACATAAATATTCCGAAATTGTTGAACCGATAAATGTTGCATTTGCCGATTCATGGTATCAATATTTATGTGAATATATGATGACATCACAAGCACCACAAGTCAGACGTCAAGTACGTAAACTTTTATTATTTATTTGTGGTAATAAGGAGAAATATCGTTATCATCGTGATATTCACGCACTCAATAAACATCTTAAAGGTGTGATTGAATGTTGTGTGAGAGGTGGCTATGAATCGGTACAAGAAATTCAACATTCACTATCACTCACTTATGATATTTTGGTTGATTTGGTTGAACATTTGAAAAGTTGTGTTGAAATTGCGATGAATCGAACTGGAAATTGGCAACGATTTTGCATTCAACAGGATACAATTATTCCATTTTTGATTCAAATGAGTTGTTTGTTGGATGAAGGTGTCGCTCCGACTATTCTTCATTTGTTACAATGTGCCATAGCTGCAAATGGAATGATGAATAAGAAATCAGAGAAAAGTACATCGAGGAAAGAGAGAGAAAAATCGGATGATTCAGCTGCTGAAGCATTATTTGAAGAAGGAAATTGTGTGATTTTAGTCGAACAAATTAATAAACAAGTTTCACGTGAGGTTTTTGCACGATTTGTGAAAACATTTATGTTGGAAACGAATACGACAAGTGTACGTTGGCAAGCACATACTTTGATATTGGCCGTTTATAAAAACTCGAAACCAAACGAACAAGAATTACTATTGGAATTGTTGTGGAATTTGTGGCCTTTGATACCGAATTACGGACGTAAAGCGTCACAATTTGTTGACTTGTTGGGCTATTTCTCGTTGAAGTTTTTCCAAACAAACTTTGTATTGCCTCAAGTGACTGAATATGTTGAGAAAGCCGTTGGGATTTTTACATCACAGAATGAACTTTTGGCACATCATCCTAATGCGAATTTGTATGCACATATGAGTCAATTTGTTGAACTTGATGGTTATTATCTTGAATCGGAACCTTGTCTTGTGTGTAATAATCCGGAAGTGTCATTTACGACGATTAAACTCAGTTCGTTGAAAGTCGATTCAAAGTTTACAACAACCACACAAATTGTGAAACTTTTAAGTAGTCATACAATCAGTAAAATTACTGTACGAATTGGAGATTTAAAACGTAGTAAAATGGTACGAACCATTAATATTTACTATAATAATCGTAGTGTGCAAGCTGTTGTTGAATTGAAAAATAAACCGGCTTTATGGCACAAAGCAAAAAAAGTGACTGTACAATCTGGTCAAACTGAAGTAAAAATTGAATTTCCATTACCAATCGTTGCTTGTAATTTAATGATCGAGTATGCTGATTTTTATGAAAACATTCAAGCATCAAGTGAAACACTTCAATGTCCACGATGTAGTGCTGCTGTTCCAGCAAATCCAGGTGTTTGTGCAAATTGTGGTGAAAATGTATTTCAATGTCATAAATGTCGTGCAATTAATTACGATGAAAAAGATCCATTCCTATGTCATGCTTGTGGTTTTTGTAAATATGCAAAATTTGATTTTACACTATTAGCAAAACCATGTTGTGCAATTGATCCAATTGAAACAGATGACGATCGTAAGAAAACTGTTGCCAACATAAATTCATTATTGGAGAAAGCTGATCGTGTTTATAAACAATTAATTGCGAATAAACCGAATTTAGAAGCGTTAGTTTTGAAAATAACTGAACATCGATCAGAACGAAAATCAGATGAAAATAGTGGTGGTAGTTCAGCGGTACCAACCGGTGCACAATTTAAAGTTAATAAAACGATACAAATGTTGGCACAACAATATTGCAATGAGTGTAAGACTTCATTTGAAGAATTGAGTAAAATAATACAAAGAGTTTTGGTTTCACGGAAAGAATTAGTGGCCTATGATCGTAAACATCGTGATGTTGATTATCCAAAACCGAGTTTGTTGTTAAAACCTGGAGATTCTTTTACAACAAATACACGATGTTATGGTTGTGCAAGTGCAGCAACTGAACATTGTCTTACATTATTACGAGCATTGGCTTCAAATCCCACCACACGTCAAATTCTATGTTCGAAAGGTTTAATTCAAGAATTAGTGTGGAATAATTTGCGTAAAGGTAGTATTCAAATACAGGAAGAAGTGAAACAATTATTGTGTGTTTTAACACGTGATAATCCGGAAGCGACTGAAGAACTATGTAATTTATTAATGGATCGAATAACGTCGAGTCTTAGTGGTCATGTCACTACTGATTTTGGTACAAGTGTACGTCATGAGATTTCATTATTAGCACTAATGGTACAAAAAGAAGATGAATGTTGGGAGTTGAAATTGCGATGTATGATGCGATTATTTTTGAAAGCTTGTGAGGATTCAAAAAGTCCATTAGTAATGGAATCTGTCATTTTACCATGTTTGAAAATTTTGCAAAGTTTGATGAAAGGTCCTGAAGGAAAGAAAAAAGGAAATTTATCAGGAACTACAGTTGATGTATACAAGTTTTTAGAAAAACAATCTGGACATACTTTTGCTGATTGGAAGGCGATTTTTGTACAAATAAATGATACGATTAAAGAATTACCATCGACGAAACAACAAGTTCACGATTACTATTTGACAGAAAAGTATTTTAAAAAGTGGAGAAGTAATGTGAAAAAAATGGATCGTTTAGAATTGGACGATTCAACTTGGCTTAAATCGGTTTTGTTCAATACTAGTTCACGATTGGCTCGTCAAGTAGCTTGTAGTATCGTTGAATTGATGTGTAACAGTTTCGAACGTAAAAAGGAAATTTTGATTCTTTTGACTTGTTTTCTCGAAGAATTGGGTAATGCCGGTGAGAATTCAGCTGAATTCTTGAATTTGTATCAAAGTCTAATACAAGAGTCACCGTGGAAGCAATTTTTGACGATTCAAGGTGTTTTAATTGTTTTGGCCGATTTAATAACAATGGAAATTGAACAATTACATTATTTGGAAGCAACAACATTAACTTCAGATTTGGCACAAGGTTACGCTTTAAATCAACTAACTGAATTATTAGCGTCGTTTTTGGATGATTCAGCCATTAGAAGACAGTACAAGGGACGTTTAGTTGGGGCTGTTTTAAATGGATATTTATCATTGAGACGACTTGTTGTACAAAGGACACGTTTAATCGACGATACACAAGAGAAATTGTTGGAATTGTTAGAGGAGATGACTACAGGAACTGAAGAAGAAACTAAAGCTTTTATGGCTGTTTGTATTGAAACTGTTGAGAGACACAATGTTCATGATATTTTAACACCGGTGTTTATTTTCGAAAGATTGTGTTCGATTATTTATCCAGAAGAGAATGATGTCGATGAGTTTTTCCTCACGTTGGAGAAAGATCCCCAACAGGAGGATTTTCTTCAAGGAAGAATGTTGGGAAATCCGTATTCGAGTTCTGAGATCGGTTTAGGGCCTTTAATGCGTGACGTTAAAAATAAAATTTGTCAAGATTGTGAATTGGTTGCCTTATTAGAGGACGATAACGGAATGGAATTACTTGTCAATAATAAAATTATTAGTTTGGATTTACCGGTCAAGGATGTTTTTAAAAAGGTGAGTACTTAACGAATTACTAATTTTAAGTTTAATTCTTTTTTTGTGTGTATAGATTTGGCTTGCTGAAGGTGGAGATCATGACGCGATGCGTGTTGTATATCGTATGCGTGGTCTTTTGGGAGATGCAACCGAAGAATTTGTCGAAACTTTGAGTAATAAATCACAAAGTACGGTCGATAACGAACAAGTTTATAAAATGGCAAATGTTCTTGCTGATTGTGGTGGTTTAAAAGTGATGGTTAAGAGATTAGGAGCGATACAGAATGTACGAAGGGCTAAACCGTTGCTTCAAGTTATTTTGAAACTGTTTCGATTAAGTATCAAAGTTGTTAAATGTCAAGAAGTGCTGATACAACCCGAATTGGGAGCAATGGAAGTGTTTTTGAGGACGCTTCAATTGTGTTTAGATGGTGAACCAGATACGAGTCAAGCTGCTGTTACTGAACAACTTTTAGATGTAAGTTTTCTTTCTGTTTTTTTTTTTTTTTTGTAAAATACTACTAAAAAAAATTATTTTAGATAATGGAAACTGTGCTTTCGAAAGCGACTTCTCAATCTTTGGAGATGTTTGAGGAGTTTTCGCAGACTTTCGGTGGGCCCGAATACGTTCGTTCTTTATTAAAATGTACAAATCATCCAAGTGTACGAAATAATCAATCAGTTTTGATTCATTTGACTCGAGTTTTGGCCGCTTTGGTTTACGGTAATCGAGATAAAATGCAAATTTTGATGGATTATTTTAAACCAGTGCTTGATTTAAACAAATACGACTATGAACACACATCTGAAGATCAACAAAAATTGGAAATGTTGTGCGTTTTAACAAACGGAATTGAGCGCAATTCTATTGGAAACACATTAAAGGATTACATAATTTCATTGGGAATCGTTAAGGATTATTTGGAATATATTACAATGCATGCACCTTGTGTCAAACCAACACTATTAAGAACAGATAGTGATGAATTGAAAGATTTTATTTCTAAGCCGGCATTGAAATACTGTTTAAGATTTTTGACCGGTTTAGCACACAGTCATGAAAACACTCAATTGGCTGTAGCTGAAGCTGAAACAATTCCTATAATCCATCGATTAGAACAAGTTTCATCTGATGAACATGTCGGTTCATTGGCGGAGAATCTACTCGAAGCTTTATGTACGAATCCAACAGTAGCGAAACAAATCGAACAAGTGCGTGAATTTACACGATCAGAGAAAAAACGTCTTGCAATGGCTATGCGTGAAAAACAATTAGGTCAATTGGGAATGCGAACGAATGATAAAGGTCAAGTTACAGCAAAATCAGCGATTTTACAACAAATTGAAGAGTTAGGTGAAGAGACTGGTCTAGTTTGTTGTATCTGTCGTGAAGGTTATAAATATCAACCGACTAAAGTTTTGGGTATTTATACGTTTACTAAACGTTGTAATGTGGATGAGTTTGAGGCAAAGTCACGTCGAACTGCTGGTTATACAACTGTTAGTCATTTTAATATTGTTCATATTGATTGTCATATGAGTGCTGTGAGGTTGGCAAGAGCGAGAGATGAATGGGAATCGGCTGCACTTCAAAATGCCAATACTAAATGTAATGGTTTGTTGCCATTATGGGGGCCACAAGTACCCGAATCGGCTTTTGCTAGTTGTCTTGCAAGACACAATACTTATCTACAGGAGAGTACGAATCATCGTGATATTGGTCATAATTCGACTATACACGATTTGAAATTGTTATTGTGGCGATTTGCACAAGAAAAATCGTTTCATGAAGATACAGGAGGGGGAGGACCTCAAAGTAATATGCATATGGTGCCCTATATAGTACATATAGCCCTCTACGTGATAAATACGTGAGTAGTAGTGTTTTGTGTTTTAATTAATTTGTTGAATTATTTTTTTTAGGACTAGAGTGAGTAAGCGTGAAGAGGGAAGTCTAATGAATTATATAAAGTGTACAAATATGGAGAAATGGATCGAGTCGGCTTATGAAGCTGAAAGTCCACTTTATTGGGCCACTATGTCTATATTATTGCATTCACCTCAACAATGGAATACACATAAATTGAGTCATTTGAAACGTTTGGTTATTTTGGGGCAAACTAGACATTGTCATCCGTCCGGTCCAAATAAAATCTTGACTGATCGAAGTGTGAAAGATTACACTGTTTATAAACCGTATTTGGTGTTTTTTGGTTTGATTGATGGAATTTATAATTATTTCTTCAAGGTAAGACATGAGGTGTTTTTTTTTTCTTTTTGATTGAATAAAATGTTGTTTTAGAATGTCGCTGGGTCTGAAGAACAATGGTCGACGAATTTGGCCGATTATATACGACATAATGATGAAGCGTTGATGAAAGCATCTGAAAAATTATTAGCATCGTATACCGATGAGTTATTACCTTGCACTTCCTTTACTGAATTCTGTGATGTTACAGGTGAGACGAAATTTTGATTTTTTTTTTATGTTAATTATGTATTTTACAGGTTTATTGGATGTTATAACGAGTCCTGACACCTATATAAGTGATCTTCTAAAGGAGCTATCTTAATTTAAAACAAATAAATAACGAGTTTTAAAATATAAAAAGGGCTGTATTTATTTCAAGCTGTATGCTTATATCTAGTGTTAATTTTTTCGTTTTTTTTCCTTAATTATTGCTTATGAATGGAATTTTAGATTAACTAAATTATTGTACCTTTCATTTAAAATGATATATAATAAAATAAATAGTGAACGTTTTTTTTTCTTCTTCACATAACTTATCATTAATAAATTACTTACATAAGTCTTTTACATAAATTCGATTAGGCAAAGTTTCATGTAAATCCCCGAACACTTACTTATATTAAAAAATCCCTATATTCCAGATCAATGCGAAAGAGGTTAAAGAGTGGGGATGAATTTTCAGAATCCTAACAGGTTACATTTTCAGCGTTTCAGTCTGCAAAGGTCGGGCGGATGCGTCGGTTTCAGACTCTGACTCGATTGAAAAACACACGTTTTTCGATTCTAGGATTTTTAGTTTTAGTGGTGAAGTGAAAGAAATATTGTTGGTGGATTCGTCATGATGAAAATTTTGCACTTACTTACTATTGAACAATAAATTCGGTATATTTTTAGACTTTTAAAGCGGCTTATTATTTTAGATCCGATTTTAACTTTCCAACTTGTATCTTTAATTAAGCACCAAACAAGTTTTTTATAAATGGTTTTATAACGAAACGAAAAAAAAATATCTACGCTTTGTATTCATCGGTCATCTTGACGCGAACAAATTATTCTTTGACTTTTTCTAAATACTCAACACTCTTATTTTGCACCCTTATTGCCAAGTCAACGATCCCCAAAGGACACATTTATCTTTTTTTATTTCTTTGCTCAAATATTAATTTCTAAAGTAAGAGAAAATGGTAAAAAATTCTTGTTTCTTAACATTTTAAATCAAGCCGATGTGTGTTGTGTTAATTACACAATTTTCACTTAATTTACATTTTAAAACATATTTATTGAAATGAGAACAGTTTTATAAATCTTTGAGATTTATTATTTATTTAAATTAATAGACAACTAAATCAGAATGTAAACAATTAATTCCTGGATAAATTGCCACACCACAACATTGAATAAATAATTAACTGCATTCTAAAATTAAACAGTTTCGGTGTTTGATAAAAAAAGCATTCAAAGATGCCTGTTTTAATATAATCTTAATAAGTGTAATAAATATGAAATGTTGTTAAAATATTGAAAGCGATAATCCTAAAATTATTAAAAAAATTGGTGAACTGCAGAATTCGATATTTCAGAAACTGTGATGATATTAAAAAAGCTTCATTATTTGGCAATAAATCATTCTGAAATTGACACAGCGTAACGCTTTAAAACAGCTTTATGTCTAGAGAGCCACAATAATAAAAAAATGTAATAAAGTGATTAAATTTAACTGAAAAAATAGTGCAAGTGTTAAATAAATTTTATTTATATTTTTTTAGGTCAGTCGGTGGAATTTGCTGATGTTTTGAAAACAATTTGAATTATTTACAAAGCGTTTTTTTCAAGTTTTTCAAGTACTCCAAATGACTTCGGAAGATTCGGTTCCGAAGACTGCCGCTCCGGAAAGGTAAGAAGATATTCAAATTTTAATGAAACTTTTTAAATTAAAGTTGGTGTTTAGAGATTAAGTTATTTCGAATTAATTTTGAGAAAAGAAAATATTGTCAATGTCGTTGCTCTTTTTATTACAATGCAAGGTCGTAAAAAAGCAATGGAGAATCAGTGAATAGTTTCGAACCGAAATGTTCGATTCTATTGCTTCTTTGAAAATGGAATATGCTTTCAATGTGACCTTTTCCTATTTATTTACTCGTTCTTCATTCGACAAAATTGAATTTCTTCCAAGAATTTAAAGCATTTTTTATGTTTCAGCGGAAATAAAACAACTGAACCAACAGCTAGTGACTCACTCAGTTCGCAAAGGTAAAAATTATTGTTTTAAATGAGTTTTGTTTTGCAACAAATTCTCGTCTCGACGGAATTTGAGAAATAGGTCAACAAATAATTGTAATTATGAAAAGTAAAGAATTCGCTTGGGAGGTTGCAACACGTTGCAAATTATATATGTTAAATTAGAAATTGCGTTGTTTGTTAGTGAGCAATTCCTTGGCATAATTAATTAAAACAGATCCGTTGCATAAAGGAAAACAGACAAATTGAATACAACTAAAGCTCTCTGTTTTAGTAGAGAGATTGTAAAATCATTAATTAGATTCAAGGCGCGCTAATTGGCAAATCTGTAACTTATTATTAATCGAATCTTGGTGGATGCGCCGGGGAAAATTATTTTATTGCATTATTAATAAATAAAACTTGGGGGTTTTACGAAGGGGTAAAAGCAATTTCATTTTATAAATTGCATTTACATCATCGTGCGTCAAAACACAGTCTTTGCTACAATATACATTTTATTCTCTATACACTCTGCTCTACTTTTATGAAACGGTTCCCGAGGGATATAACAAAGAGCTAAAGAGCATATTTAATTAATGACATTTTTTCAAGGAAAGGTTACCTTTTTCATCAAATTTGCATAAATATTTTCGTTGTTTTTAATTTGAATTTGTGTCCAATATAATAAAACTTTTTACATTTTATCGTGCTAGTTTTTATTATTTTTTATTTTCTTTCATCTTGGCTTTATTGCTTTATTGACGTCGGCGAGTGATTGTTTTGAAATTTCTGCATATTTTTATGGAACAATATGTAATAAAAGAACAAATGGAAATTTAATGAATAATCTAATTTGTAAAAAAATGAGAGCAGGTTAAAAACGTAAATATTTCTCTTATTTTGTTCAGCGAAATGAAGAAATTTAATTTTTTTAAAATAATAACCTTCCTTTAATGAATTGTATTTTGTTGCAGGGTTTTTAAGAAATCATCTCCTAATAATAAGCTGACAATGTACTTGAGTTCCCGTGATTTGGTTGTGTCCGCAGGTAGAATCGATCGACTCCAAGGAGTCTTACTGGTTGACCCAGAGTTTGTCGAGAATCGCAAAGTTTATGGGCAGGTCACACTTACGTTCAGGTAACAAGAAAATGTTGTTGTTTTATTGATTTTCTAGTTATTTTGATTTGAATAATAAACGGCGTAGCCGACGATTATGTAATTTGCAATTAATCAATAACAACGGATTACAATCTCACCGATTAGGAAACAATCCTTGACAGAATCACACACATATGGAGCAAAGTTTGGTTTGTTGAAAATTCGTGCCCTCCATTACCGCAGACTAATAGCTTTACTTTACTATTAGTCTCACTTTTGATGAATTCAAAATTTAACGTCACACAAATAAAATCTGATGATTCAGGAAACACTTTCCGAATAATCTCGTTATTGTCGTTGGCAGGAAATTCAATTAAAACTCGACGGTATGTGAAAACCGGTGATGATGTTTGCACAGATTGCTCTCTCTGGAACGGTTTTATTACGAGATATTGCTTTTTGCTCTATGCAACATTTATTTATTTATTTTTCAGATATGGACGAGAAGATGAAGAAGTAATGGGTTTAAAATTTTGCAACGAAGCGATCATGTGTTTAGCGCAGTTGTATCCGCCTCAAGCGCTCGAAGGTAACACACCATTACAGGTAAATCAATTTTTAAAACTTCCATTTTAATATTTGTGTTTTAATCAATAAAAGCGATGCAGTCTGTAAACAAAGTTTTATTCATCATATAAACGATATAGAGGAGAAATCGTTTCACGGCCTATCATATATTCCAACAATAGATGAAAGCATAAAAGAGAAATAAAAAATCTAATCCTATCACAAAACCACCGATGAAACTTTCTTTTCAGCTTGAGTCAGCGTTTCAGCGATGACACTTAACGTAAAATTTAATTAATACAATTTGACAAAAAGTTGAGTCATTTTGTACAGGGTGCTGCATTTTGGTTGTCCGAATAGGGAATCTCTGAAACTAAGAGGTTTAGCCAAAAACGAGTAATACATTCTGGGGCTCATTTTTTGAGAAAATAATATTGGTTAAAATCGCATCCAGCTATAGTCTTTTGTTTTCGACTTACAGACAAAAGTTGACATTTTGGCAAAATCTAAAAAAAAATATCTTCGTTATTATAGAAGATACGGATTTGAAATAAAGACATTATACAGGCACTTTTTTACGAGGAATTTAATAATGTAGTTAACAATTTTTTTCAGTTATTAGTTTAGCCGTAATAAGATAAACTTGTATTTTTTGAAATGGAAATCATAGGCGGCTATGGCAATTTAGAAATGCTTATTTCTTTCTGATCTAAAAAATATATATTTGTAACAAAAATTTTTTTATAACTATACTTAAAAAGTGAAATACATATTTTGTGTGATAATAGTTGGCCTTGGAAAAACTTTTTCACTCCAAATGTGTAAATAATAATCAATAAAAGTTTTGTGAACTGTAAAATAGATGAAAAAATAGATAAAATTATGAAAATTTAAAAAATACGATACGGTAGAAGAATTGAACAAATATGCGAGCGCCTCAGAATAAAATTATTACATATTTTAAAAAAATCCAAAAATAGGAAAAACAAATGTGTTAACAGTCAACACAATTAGAAAAAACATATTTTTGGATGATTTAATGGAGGTAGGATAACGTTTCACATAGACGGAATTTGGGTATTTGAATAGCCATATCGTCATTTTTGTGTAATATAAAATATATTTTATTGAAGAATTAAAGCGGCTTTTTTTTTAGAACACTCTATGTATCACTAGAAGCTGCAATGGTAATGTTAGCTTGCTTAAAAACAAAGAAATGTTATTAGTCGCCAATAATTTGATTTACGATTTATTTTGCATTTTTTTCATTACTTAGTACTTAGAAAACTCTTCTATTAGTGACACTGGTTGAATATAATATAGTTTAAATCTTTTTAGTTGAAGATGCAACATTTTTTCATGGCCAACTGCGAACAAAAATCAAAGATAATTTTTTGCTAAAAATGTATTGTAATAATTTGTTACAAATATATATTTTTTAGATAAGAAAAAAACAAGCTTTTTAAAAATGACATAGCCATCTATGGTTCCTATTTAAAAAAATACAAGTTTATTTTTATTACGGCTAAACAAACAACTGAAAAAAATTGTTAACTACATTTTTAAATTCCTCGTTAAAAAGTGGCTGTATAATGTCTTTGTTTCAAATCTGTATCTTCTATAATAACAAAGATATGAATTTTTTTAGATTTCGCTAAAATGTCAATTTTTGTCTATAAGTCGAAAACAAAAGACGATAGCGGGATTCGGTTTTAAGCAATATTATTTTCTCAAAAAATGAGCCCCAGAATGTATCACTCGTTTTTGGCTAAACCTCTTAGTTTCGGACATCCAAAATGCAGCACCCTGTACATACAATATTGGAATATTGGACGAGGGAAGAAAATAGCACAAGGAAATTGAGGGGTGAAATTTGATTGGGTCATGTTTATTTAAAAAATTTCAATATGAAGCTACTCAAACTGGAAAGTTTCCAAATTTTTTTTGTAGTAAAATTACTCGTATGTATATTTTCTAACAAAAGATCCGGAACTGGTCGTGACTTTACTTAATAAATCGAAATGTAACCCTCGTTTTGTTCGCAAGTATTGATTTTAGACCTACAAAAACGAATGTGGAATGCACAAAAGTGATGTCCGAATTTTTATTTTGGCAGCATTTTACCCTTGTCAAAAATAATAAATTTTATTGATTTTTTTTCTAAGAAATAAACGCATTCATTGTTTGCTTTGTTTTTCTATCTGCTATTAATCATTGAGTTCAGATTGTAGGTAATCTATGTTAAATATGTCAAGTCGAGTTATCGATTATTGATTGTGCTGTCAAATTGTTGTTTGTACATGTAATTAAAGTAAAAGTTTGTTTATAGGTCACTCACTTATAAATTTCTTAAAAAATTTGGGGCGTGTAAATTTTCTCTTCAAAAGGGTTAACGGACTGTAGTAGAGAAATAACGATAGAATTTAATTAGAGTGATGCGCTACTTTGATTAGTGGTGTGCGTTTTACCGATTAATTTGTGTCCAAAGGTTCAATAGGGAGATTGCTGACTTGTGTGTTAATTACAAGCAGGTTTCAATAATAATAATTGTTAGAGCAACGAACGTTATTGAAAATTTTTCATTTGTTTGTTTCAGGACGCATTGCTGAAACGTTTAGGTAGCAATGCGTATCCATTCAGCATGGAAATTACGCCTTTGGCACCACCCAGTGTTCAATTAGTGCCAGCCAAAGAATATAACGGGGCCCCCATTGGGACCAGTTATGATGTAAGAGCTTACGTTGGTAAGTAATCAGTATTAAAGAGAGAATTTATTTTTTTGTGGTTTTAATTCTTATTACAAGAAGTAATAGTTTCGGAGATACCGTTTTTTGAAACATTTATTTGCAATCTGTTTAAACAAAAAGTAGAAGCTTCTAGTGAAATTAGATATTTTATTAAAAAAAAAAAACTAATAAAAATCAATCGCGCAAAAAATGTCATAAGCAACATGAACGTTGTTAAGTTTATTAAAACGTTTTTATTTCTGTTTTGATTTACAAAAAATACATATTAAGCATGACCAAAATTCTAAAAACACTTAAAATTAAAAAAAAAATAAGATAAATATATAGCATAAGAGCTTTACAACATGAAACGTATAAACAAAAATAAAATAAAAT